AACAGGCAGGTTTAGAATAAATGCGAAGTTGTTGTTTTGGGAGATTTATCATTGCCCAAGAAATCTCTGAACATATTCAGAATTTTTAAGAGCAGCAAGTAAGACAGCAGATTGCAATGGACACCATTACAATATTGCTTTGCCGATTGAGGTCAGAGATTTAAAGAATAAATAAATGTTCTATAGCTCGCTAGACCACTGGCTTTTAATGAACAGTTTGCACAACACTTATAAATAGTTTGTAATACTGCACATTATAGCTGTGACAACATAATACACATGGTAACAATGCTATGTCACTGTTTAATAGACTTACCCAGTATTTAAGGACGACATGTTTCTTGCAAAGTCATCGGGACTTTGAGGGAGGTTCTAACTACGTTTAATTAATTAATTTACTAAAGAAAAAAAGAAGGTTTTGTTTTTCCCCTGCAAGTGAATTTTCGGCGCAAGGTCATTTTGTGTTCACAGACTATTCGGTTTTAAAAAGCTGTTCTTTATCTCCCATTATGAACGGCCTTGTAATTCCTATCCACACTAAAAGTTGGCTTTTAAATGTTATTGTTTTAACTTTAATATTTCATAGTTAATACAGAGGATAAAGTAATATAAAGAAAGTATATTAATTGATAGGATTTCATTTATCTATTTTGGTCCACTGTTCACTGATCTCGAATCTTAGTCTGGTGTTCAAACAGTTTTTCTTACGATACATCGTGAGTTTATATCCACAACTGCATTTTGCTTTGTGGAAACGAATTGAAAGCCTGGCATTGTAATACATGTATGGACATGCTTATAACAAAGCATGGTCCCTCTCCTCATGTCGTTAACAGGCACTTTGATGCAATGTGTCTACCAACGCTTTTCTGTGGTCACTGGATCACCGCATACCCTATCTCTCTGTCATGATGCAGAGTTTATGCTTGCAAGGATATCCAGACCTTATCCACCTGGTATCCGCATAAATACTCCTATCGTTTAGAGGGGTTAATTACATAATAACCATTGAAGGTAATACGTTGGTTGTTCTTCCTATAGAGGAAAGATGGACTTGCCCTAAAAGCTTTTTCATGGCTAGGACAAGCTCTTATAGAGAGAGGTAATGTACTTCTGACTCCTGAAAAGGAATATTGTTGGTCACAATATGGGAAATACTGTAATTCATGTGTTTAGTAATCATAAGCATTTGCTTATTGCCACATTACTGATGTACTGTTTATTGAAATATTAATATCTAACATACTTTTTGAATTACTATATATTGGAAGTGTGCCAATATCTCATGGTTATAAATATGTTTTTGTATGTGTTGATGCATGTACCAGGTTTACTTGGATATATCCTGTGCGAAGTGCAACCTCTGATGCCACGTTTTCTAGTCTCACTTCCTTAGTATGCATTTGATAATCCCAGGACCATCCATTTGGATGGTGGTCCTGCAGTTACTGCAAAGGAAACCTAAAACTGGGCAACCACATTTGGGTTACTTTGGGATTTCAGTGCCCCAACCACCCCCAAAGAAGTGGGGTTGTGGTCTGGGAGAATGCTGAGGTTAAATGATTATTAACCAAGTTACTAGTTGCTTGCCCCACACAGTGGTATCTATTTATTCCTATGGTACAGATGAGCATTCACAACATACCTGATGATACAAATGGTGAGACACCATATGAAATGTTACATGTTTTTCACTGACAATCATATTTCTGCACCAGGGAGAGCTTAGAACCATTGGTTCTATTAGAGAAATTTAGGGAATTTTTTTTTCCAGCCCACCTCGCCTTGCACCACCACCTATTTCCTTCTGTTGGCCAGCTTGTCCTGGAGAGGGTGACTCAGATAACTTTTACTACAGAGAACAATCAGACCCAACAGAGAACAGTAAGTTTTGATATTTTACAACCTGCTAAATATTAACAGGACATTCACAGAACCACTGACGGACACAATGGATGCTGTTAAAGATGGCAAGATAAAACAAACAGAGGACGACAGAAAAGCCACCAGAATCATAGACAGACTGAATCATGATCTGACATCTGAACCTGCAAATGTGAAGGAGAAGGATGAACAGACAGACGTGATACATTCACAGTTAACATGGAATGTATGAAAAATGAATCATCAACATCATTATAAGAAAGACTCTGGAGAAAACAGACTGAACCTGAATTATCTTATACAGTAAGAAAGAAATGCAAAGATGGAAGCAAAAGGATGCTAGAAAATTGGTTATGGTGTCTCCTTCTTACAGTCTGCAGCATTATCATAACATCAACCCTAGCTGTCGTTTTAAAACTGCATTGGGATTATGTTAACAAGCAGGAAGCACCTGAAATGAATTGGACTGCACACTATACAAGTTCTTTGATCGTGAGGACTACCTCCAAGAACTATCTCAAAAGGAGAGACACAGCTCACAGTGAAATGATTGCTAATGTGACCTACACTGGTATTTCACAAGGAACCTATTGAGATCATTCCAAAAACCGATTATACGTGAGAAAGATGTGATTGAACTATTTCAAATCCTAATAATGGACTCAACGATGATGGCAAAGCATGCTGAAAACAGAAAAAGACGAGATAGATGCTTGTGAAAGACTTTGGATGCACCTATGAAGGTGATTAAGAAAAGAGTTTGCAATATAGTTTATCATTGAATGACTACAGCAAACAGCCTTCTTATGCTGAAAAGAAGTGCTATACTAATTCTGGACATTGCTATTATCCAAACAGACGATAACCGGAAAAAGAAATAAAGGCTGATAACACCCAGCTATTTCTTAAGATGGAACATGGTACTGAGAAAACCTGATTGACTATCAAAGCACCTCACAGTACAAGACACAGATTGTTGCCTACAACTCCGAAAAAGTGGTTAATAGGAAGGAGCAGAAGAAGAGGAATATAGATTTCCTACTGGAGTGAAAAACCATCCTTGAACCATATTCTGTAACAATGAACTTTACAATGACATTTGGTGGCATATGAATTTGAATTCGGAAGAAACACATCAATTAACGAAAGAAACCTTGATGCAATTAATAAATAATAACAATACCGGCCTACTAAGAGCAGATGCCCTGCAAAGAGAATGGAATATAAAAAGACCAGCAAAATCTTTCAGAAACCTGACATCATGGGACACTTGTACTAAAGCACGATTTGCAGCTTTTCTTAAACTCTACATATTATGTACATACCTGCAAAGCAAGGAACTCCTGTAAACATAAACACAGAGACATTGATACAACAAGGAATCTGTAATGGTTCTGTTGCAGATGGGATCTACCAATGTACTCCTTGCTCTTTTGGTAGAACTATACCCATCAAAACGTTAAATGGCTGCCTAGGACCATAAACCAAGGATTATTGCTATATTCTGGACTTCCAGGAATGTGGTGCCTGGACAGAAAAATTATAATTACTAAAGCAATCATGCTATTTTTTTCCCTGTATCAGAAATGTGTCAGTGACAATGTGTAATATAATACAGATACTATAATTAATGGTATAAGATAAACACATAATGTGTTAATTACAAAGGTGGATAGACTTTGTGAATATCTGAAACGCAATTGAAGATTATTGCTAAAATGCCATATGCAGCTGCAGTCTGGCCTACAAACAAATATATTACACATACGTATAAGAGCATAACAGCTAATTAACCAGATGAATAATTAAATCATGATAGTTAAAGATCATATGATTGCAATAACAACTGCAATAATGAATAATGTTTAAACTTTAGAAGAAAATGTGAAATGTTTTTATTAAATCAGAAACTACTCAATATTCGTTTAAGTTTGCAGAGTGGTATAATTAATATAAGTGAAAAACTTCAACAGTTAAAATTTAACTGACAGACAGGCAGAAACTTTACTTCAACTATCATAAAATTTATTTATAATGATAAAAATATTCAGTCTGCCAGAGCTAAGGCCAGTCAATGGAAAGTAAGAGAGTATTATGGATTAACCCGTCCAGGTGATACACATGATTATTTTGGAAATTGATAAGTTAGGTCACCTATTGCAAATTGGTGAAAAGATGTCAAAGATATAAATTCAACATCCATACCACTCTATGTATATATATATATATATATATATTAAAATACACGTAATCAAATATTTTATCAGTTTTTCAAATACAAAGAAAATGTTATTTGGTTTGTAACGGTTAAAGGTACATAAAACCACGTATACAAAGGTAGAGTTAAAATATAAATACATTCAATATTGTATCGGAGTGCTTTCTTAACTCACTTTTAGAAATAATAATACATTCTAATCATCTTAAGCTACATCCAACAGCCGCTAGTAAATATACTTAAACAATTAAGATTCTCATTGTTGAGCATCCAATCTCACGAATGTAACTTTCCACAATGGCTGTCAGATCTTGGTTTAAAAAAAAAAAAATGTTTTGAAGACAATTTTGGGGTGTTTCTGGTATTTTAAGCCACTAATAACTGTAGTTATTATATTTACTAATTATATCTTAGGGAATAAGTTGTCTTCTCCCTAACAGGACAAAGAAAGATAATTAACGTCATATTTCCAATTAGCAACTATTCTAAATATATTGAGACATTTTGAATAAAGTAATATTTTTAACATTTAAAGAGAATGTTATTTTACATACCATTCTGAACAAAGACGGTAAATACTTTGCTGCTTCAAATTATCCTTGTATCTCTAAATCATATACAAGGGTGTTTATCTTTAGTACAAAACACTAGAAAGATTAACTATGTTACTATTTCACCTATCATTATTATACAAACTATAACAAATGTAAAGATTTTTCCACAGATTTTATCTGTTAACATTTTTAGCACAACATCACCTGATGTCAGTGAGATGTCGATCACTGAGATGTTACAAAGATTCCAATACAGCAAAAAGAGGTGTTCCTGAGAATCCACTTCGATTGCTGTATCAACATAACATTTACTATAACGGGATCCATGTCACTTAAGACAATGTCTTGGAAATGCTGTCAATTAATTTATTCCGTAAAAGAATATCAGAGAGTATCCAATCTATACACATCATAAACGGTGTAAAAATGTTTCATGGAAAAAACAAACAAAATAAAAAGCAAAGACAAAAGACAAAGACAAATACCAACGCCATCACCACGGTGATAACAGATGATGCTGATTCAATATCTGCAACCAATTCTATCCAAATACTTGGAAAGCTGGACTCTACAACCTATACTCTACAACAAATACCTGGGTATTCTACAAACACAACCTCCAGCAATGTATCTAAGGAATGTAAACTTCTACAGGTCTTTAAAGACTTTGGATTACAAATACAATTACTATTTTTAACTTTGGATTACAATTCGTATCCGGATCTATCCAAGAATATCTTACTCTGGAACCTGGTGTTCTTTTCAATTCTTTCCCAGACAAAAGCTTTGCTCATTTTAATCAACCACCTTTACAGGCAAAGATCACACTACGGATATTTTACTGTTACAACAATGATCAAAGATGCTGGGAGCACAAAAACCTAAAGACTGTTGGAGAACTTTGGTTTACTAATTTAAGGAAGAAATGCGCTACAATGCCCACAGTTTAATGGAGAGGGTGTTACGTGCAAATGCAAATATTACAAGTTTTAGAATGAAATGTTGTATTTCTTAAACTGTGTACTTTGTCTTTAAGAGATATTGCAAATTGACAAGGTGTTAGAAATGGAACATATTGTTTTTCATAGATGTTTCTTTAAGCAATAACCTCAGTGCATAATATGTTTGCACCATTTTGTCCCAGACGAATTACAATAACAATAATGCATAAACAAGCTTCAAGGCTATGCTACGACTCTTGCAGTACACAATATACTGTGGTAACCCCAAGTTAATGGAACTTCCCCAAATCTGGGAATCTCCCACTACTGTACACTTACGACTTAGTATAAACAACAGATAACCTATTCAGACTTCAAGATGCCATCTTGAACTAAGTCAGGAAAATTTCCATGACGTATACACACTTTAGTTATGGCCTTGTATGTTTGCCAAATTAAGGGAGGTCCTAAATTGAATAAAGTAAAAGAAGTGTTACTTTTTCATATTTGAACTACAGTAACCTAAAATGGAGACACCTAAGGTATAAATAGGTGTACTTTTAAATGTTAAGAGACAGAGGAGAGACTTGGAGACAGACGCTGCTCCATCTTAAAATGACAGAGAGGCTGACATGATATGTTCAGAAGGGTATGTTAACCTATTAATGATATTTGCAAGCATGTAATTTAATTTTATAAACTCTGCTATAATGGATTTTATATTTTTATATAATAAATATCCAAAAAGACAATCTTGCTTCCAAGACAATCCTTATTTTATATTGTATTCTCAATTATTTATATATGTTAAATAGAGGATCTCTTACACTATATAAAATTATGGCTAAGATATCTGTATGGTTAGCCCTACTAAGTTCTATGCTTTAAGACATTATAGTGGTAAATAAGGGAACCACACACGGTTACAGTTCACACCCAGCTGTGAAAACCTTTTTATGTCCTACTGGGTACACATTTAAGCAGTCTTTTGTTTCAGGTATTGTACCGGAGGATTCGAGGAAGGCAGATGTTCCTATATTTAAAAAGGGTTCAAAATCCTTGCCTGGAAATTATAGACCTGTGAGCTTAACTTCTGTGACTGGGAAAATATTTGAAAGGCTATTAATGGATACTATTTAGGAATTAATTGGGAAGAACTTTATTATGAAAAATAGGTCATGTCAAACTAACCTCATTGCATTCTACCAAGGCCGTCTTTAAAGGGGGGCAAAAGGGGCAGCTGCCCCGGGCCCAGTTACTCCTGGGGGGCCCAAAGTAGCTGCTCTGTGGGCCCCTTGCTGGGGTCCAAATCCTGTGGACTGCAGCACCTGATGTAATTATGGGCCCTCAGCCCTTTAAGAGTGCTCGCCTTGGCCCCTTTGATGTTGCCTGCTGGGAGGAAGGGAGGTGAGATCACTTCCTCCCAAGTAACAGAGTGCCGCTGGGGAGGTGGAGGAGGCATACAGAGGAGGAGGAAAGGGACTGAGGACAGACTCTCATCAGCCTTGGCCCTCCAGCTCCCACTGGACCCCAGGGAAGCCACCCTTCTGTACCCAAAAGGTAAGGAGACAAGAGGGTGGCTAAAACATGCTGTAACTTGATATATGTGTGTGTACCTGGGTCTGAGTGAGTGCATCTGTCTATATGTGTGTGTGTTTATCTGGCTGTGTGTGTGTGTTTATCTGGCTGTGTGTGTGTGTGTGTGTGTTTATCTGGCTATATGTGTGTGTTTATCTGGCTATGTGTGTGTGTTTATCTGGCTATATGTGTGTGTGTTTATCTGGCTGTGTGTGTGTGTGTGTGTGTGTGTATATCTGACTGTGTGTGTATATCTGGCTGTGTGTATGTCAATGTGTGTATCTGGCTGTGTGTATGTCAGTGTGTGTATCTGGCTGTGTGTATGTCAGTGTGTGTATCTGGCTGTATGTCCATGTGCATCTGGCTGTATGTGTGTGTGTGTGTGTGTGTACCTGACTGTGAGTGTTTGTACCTGGCTGTGAGTGTACCTAGCTGTGTGTATATCTGGCTGTGTATCTAGCTGTGTGTGTATCTGTCTGTGTTTGTGTCAGTCTGTGTATCTGGCTGTGTGTGTCAGTGTGTGTATCTGGCTATATGTGTCTGTGTATGTATGTGCATATATCCAAGCAATCAAACACACCACAGCAAAAACAATCATTACATACAAACACACCCCTAATACAAACTCCAAAATTGTATACAAACATACCCTTCACTCACTAAAATACACACAAATTTAAATCTGCATTTAAAAGACAACCCTACATCCACACATACCCCTGCATGCAATTACAAATGTTACATAAAACACTAAAATTATATACAAACGCCAACTCAATACACAAAAGCACAACTTCATTTAAAAGCCAACACTACATACAAACACACACCCCTGCATTCAAACACAAACACTACACAAAAGTACACAGCTGCATTCCCATAGTAACAGTACATACAAATACACCCCTATATGCACACATATACTCTATACAAAAACATGCTTACATTCAAATTCACAAACACTGCTCACAAATACAACCCTACAAGAATGGCCAAACGGTGGATCCCCATCGTGGAAGTTGTACGACAGATGGGTATCTAACTTTTCTCCACTCTTGCGCTATTGGAGAGAAAACAATTCTTGCACCACAGCCCTCTCTACATTAGTTCTATCAGTAGGTTGGGGTGGAGGCCCTGATTGCATGCCAGGGAGCTGGGGGTTGAGAATGGGGGGGGCATGGGGGAGTGGGGAAGGGCAGGTATAGGGGGCCCAAGCAAATGCTTGCCCAGGGTCCAATCGATATTAAAGACGGCCCTGCATTCTACGAAGAAGTAAGTAGAAGTATAGATCAGGGTGTTGCAGTGGATGTGATCTACTTACTAAATAGGGACATACAATTTTGCCACTTTATAAATCGCTGGTAAGACCACAGCTTGAATATGCTGTGCAATTATGGGCACCTGTTCTAAAGAAGGATATCATGGCACTAGAAAAAGGGCAGAGACGAGCTACAACATAACATGATAAAAGGAATGGAGCATTTTAGTTACAAAGAAAGGTTAAAAAAATGTAAATCTCTTTAATTTGGAAAAACGGCGCCTCAGAGGGGATATGATAACTTTATACAAATATATTCAGGGCCAGTACAAACCTTTATCTGGAAATCTATTCATAAACAGGGCTATACATAGGACACAAGGTCACGCATTTAGGCTGGAAGAAAGGAGATTTCATATAAGGCAAAGAAAAGTTTTTTTTTACAGTAAGAACAATAAGGATATGGAATTCTCTTCCTGAAGAGGTGGTTTTATCAGAGTCCATTTAGATGTTTAAACTGCAATTAGATAAATACTTGCAAAAACATAACATACAGGGATAAAATTTCTAATTAGTGGGGTAATAGCTGCTTGATCCAAGGAGATATCTGACTGCTATTTTGGGGTCAAGAAGGAATTTTTTCCTAGTTTGTTGCAAAATTGAAAGCGCTTCAGACTGGGTTTTTTTTGTCTTCTTTTGGATCAATAGCAAAAAAATATGTGAGGAAGGCTGAAAAATTAATTATTTACCTTAAGACTAACAATTGGGGCATTAATTTTACCTCACAAAGTAGCAAGCATGACGTCAACTTTTTGGATCTTGATGTTAATATTGAAGATTTGCGCACAAACACAACAGCTTTTTTTTTTTTGTAAACCTGTTGATGTAAACAGTTTTATATCATTACCATGACCCTGATTGGCCCAATAATGTACCTAAGAGTTATTTTTTGTGAATGAAAAGAAATTTCACTTGAGAAAAAACTCTTATAGAACAAGTCAATTGTCATACTTACATGTTCCGGAGCTCCCTCTCCCCAGTTTAACACCAGGAAAGATGCTGCTCGTGCGTGTCTATTTGTAATCAGAGGTGGGGTATTTAGGCCTTGTTCTCATCCTGCTCAGTGCCCTGTCATGGTTTCCCTAATGGTTGTCCGAGAGCGCATTATTGATGCTGGTAATTCTGGTTATTTGACTTTGGCATTGTTTTTGACTTCCCTGTTTTCTGGCATCCCTGACTCCTGGCTTTTCCTTATCGTTGTGTCTCTTTCTGTATCCCTTGACCTCGGCTATTACTGACTATTCTTTGGTACGTTAGTCCGGCCATTCTAAGGTCCGGTATACGTTACCTATCAGTCCTCTGTGTTACACAATTCTACGTGCTGGATCATTCTGTAATCCTGACAAAGATAACTTTAATGAAAAAGGAGAACTCAATAATTTTGACTTGGAGATTGAAGACACATGTCATTTACTTATTTTTATGTGTATGATATCTTTAGGAAAAATAGGTACATGAATAATAACAATGAGGTATCCAAATAAATTGAAAAACATTTGGTTCCTATCATGAAATAGAAACATGTCTGTTCAGATATACTATGCTATGCCATTGGACCTAAGTGAGTAAGTATATTTTTTTATAACTATTGGTTCTTTTTATTTTGCGCCCCCTATCTGATTGTTGTTGTTCGCTGTATACACTATTATTGTTGTTATTACTATTATAGGTATTTATATAGCGCCAGCTTATTCCACAGCGCCTTACAATAAAAGGGAAATTTACCAAATGAGACAATAGCAAAAAGTAACCAGAACACTAGGAAGTTGAGCACCCTGCTCACACGAGCTTACAGTCTAGAGGTGGGGTATATAAACACAATAGGAAGGGTATTGAGAGAGACAGCAAACAGACATGGTGGGAAAGTAGCAGAACTGGAGGTGAGAGTGGATTGTGGCCTTATAGGAGAGAGCTAGCGGAAGGTTTGAGAGATAGAAGTTACTATTGGAGGCCATATGCATTCCTGAAAAGATGGGTTTTGAGGGACTTCTTAAAGGATTGAAGACTAGGGGAAAGTCTGACAGGAGTAGGCAGGCTGTTCCAAAGGAAAGGAGCCACCC